AGCTACTGTTCTGCCTTCTGATCCTGCTACTGATTTCATAATAAACAGTGTGAAATAGTCCTAAGCTATATTTCTGACAGGATTCCACGTCAGGCTGTTTTCACTCAGAGTGCCCCAGAGTGGGGTGGGTGAGAGCCCTCCCCGCCCCAGGGGACCCAGCCCTGGCAGTTGACCTCCACTACCCAACCACCAAGTTCCAGGTCACTTTCTGGACCACATGGCTGCAAAAACATCATAAGACACTTCCTCCCATTTTCCACGATTGTCACACCATGTTTGATGGGGTTCAGACATTAGGCAATAAATCATAGAGAAAAATTGTATGTATGTACCTCTCGTAGAGCCTGACAAGCTACCAAGAGTATTCTGCCTGCACGGGCAGAGCTTGGCAAGCTCCCCGTGGCGTATTCAATGTGCCAAAAACGTAACGATTCTCACAATGGAGACATTACTGGTGCCTGCTCAAGCAAAATTGATGAATAATGGGAGGACAGTGCTATCTATCAGTGCAATCACTACAGATTGGGTAGAACAAAGGAAAGGATAAGGGAGGTTTTTGAATTGTCAGTAAAATCCTTTAAAATTTAAATTTATTGCTCCATGACTTGGAGGCCAGCCACACATGCTAGGGGAAAAGGCAGCTCAGATAGAGAATAAATAAATAAAGGGTGTTGGGAGGATCCTCCCAGGGTGGGAGAAGCATGCTGAAAGTAGACTATAGACCTAACATGATTGCCACTCAATGCCTCTTTTGCAAACCACAGCACCCAAAAGGAGAGAGAGAACAAAAGGGTATGCCCTGCCACAGAGGCAGGGGAGGATGGGGGGGATGGGGGGTGTGAGGGATGCTGGGACCCGTGGTGGCGGAGGACGGGCGCTGGTGGAGGGATGGGTACTTGATCATTGTATAACTGAAACCCAAGCACAAAAATTTGTAAGTCTACAACTGTACCTCATGGTGTTTCACTAATAAAAAATAAATAAATAAATAGATAAAATTTAAATTCAAAGAGAAAAAAATAGAAGAAAGAGAGAACATCGAAGAACTGTGGAATAATTACTGGAGATTAAATAAAGGCAATACTTAGTTTAAGTTGTTTTTGGGCCACACCCAACTGTGTGCAGGGATCATTCCTGGCAGTGCTTAGGGGACAACAGGTGGTGCCAGGGACCGAAGTGAGGCCAGCCTTATCACTTCACTATTTCTCTGTCTTCAAATAGAAGAAATATTTGAAGTGATAATGATTAAGAATATTATCAGATCAATAGCAGATACCAAACCACAGATTTAGGAGTATGAGAGAATACCACATATAAATGCATACACATACACAAACACACATATACATCACATATATACACACATATTCTATACTTGTGTATATATTAAAATGGAATAAGTAGAGGGAAAAATCACTTCACGTATATAAGAGCTACATTGCTCTTCTTTCATAGAAGCAAGAAAAGAGGAACAAAATGATAGTGTTAAAAATAAAACCCACCAATCTAGAACCCTGTACTTCAAAAATCTTGCTTCAAAAGTGAAGAAAAATTACGTAATTTCTTTCAGAAAAATAACTAAGAGATTTTACTACCAGTGGCTCTGTCTTATTAAAAACAAAAAGGTTAAAAGTGGGGCTGCAGAGATAAGTGTGCTCCCCCAAACAAAAACAAAATGTTAAAAGAAAAAATCTTCAGGACAAAGGAGAAAATCATAGGTCAGAAACCTTGACATACAATTAAAAAACGAAGAGCATCAGAAAAAAAAATAAATATAAGAAACAGTTCACAGTCTAATTAGTACTATATACTTGCAATAAGAACTGTGACTTATTAGAATATAACAAATATAAAACACTAAGCACCCAATACTAGTAAAAACAAGAATTTTACTTTATCTTATTTTGTTGTTGTTTTTGTGTCACACCTTGCAGTGCTCGAGGGCTCCTCTGTTTTAGTGCTCGGGGATTGTTCTCGGTAGTGTTTGGGGGATCAAACCCAGACTCCATCTGTCATGCATACATATTAGCCCTTTGAGCAATCTCATTGGTCCCTTTTCTCTTATTCATAATTGATTTAGTAAGTAGGTTTGCTCAAAATAATGATAGCCACATTGCATGTAGTAACTATAGGCTATGGATAAGTAAAATGAAAGATAGCAACGTTAGTAGGATGGGAGGGAGGAATTGGAATATTTAGTTATAAAATGTATTTTACATCACGTGTACAGATGTTATTTGTTACTTGAAAGACAACTTGGGTTAATAAATGTGTATGACAAGCTCCAGGCAAACTACTTTTAGAAAGAAAAATAAAAGCATAATTTCTACTTTTAGAAAGAAAAATAAAAGCATAATTTATATGTGCTGAGGAAAATAATGGAAATCATAGAAAATAATACTGGAAAGTAGAAAATCTTTATCTATGAAATAGTGTCATTAACTGGATTGGGGGGTGGTTCAAAACAGAGACGTGGAGAAACATGAAATCACTTCCTGCCACAGGCACAGCAGATCTACAACTACATACGGAGTAATTTACAAAAATGATGGTGTTAAATTGGACTTCTTAAAAAGGAAAAAAAACCCAAAAAAAACCAAAAAACAAACAAACAAAAAAAACCCCTGTTCTATAAAATAGACTAGAAGACAACGCATTTTTGGAGAAACTCTTGAAAAATAGGTAGCAGATCAAGGATAGGTATTCAAAATATTAAAAGAATTCTTCAAACTCAACCATAAGAAAGCACAAGTAATTGAAAAACACCTGCAGACAAACGTGTATAGCAGTACCATTTACAAATGCCAAAATTTGGAAGCAACCAAGATGCCCTTCAATAGTAAATGGATAAACTGTGCTTTGTGCAGGTGATGGAATTTTAGTCAGAGATCGTTAAAAAGGAGCTAGCAAGTCACAAAAGGATGAGGATATTTCACTCTGCAAAAGAGGCTAATCTGAAAAGGATACACGCTACATGACTCTTAATAGACAAGATTCTACAAAAGGGAAAACTATAAAAATAACAGAAATAAGGAATTGTTGCAAAGGGGTTTGAGACGGGAAGGCATGCATAAATGGGAGTGAAAACTTAGAACTGAGAAACTATTATTCCAAATGATACTATAATGGAGTATATATTAGTTACACGTTTATCAAAACTCGTAAACTGTGAATACAGAGTGAGCCCTACTATAAAATGGGACTTCATTTGCTACCACTCTATCAATGTTAGATCATCAATTTAAACAATTGTTCCACACTATTTCAAGATGTAAAACACAAAGAAAATAGGGGAAAGAGTACTAAGGTGGAGACTTAACTTTTCACTGATTTTTTTTTTTGGGCAAGCCTAAATGACTTCTCCCAACAAAAAAAAAATATGTAAAGAAGTAAATTTCATACACTTCATATGGAATAATAAATAATAAATCAATAATAATAATGAATAAATAATAAATTCCATGTCTTCGTAACTAGCTATTCACTTATTATGTTTAGAGAATGTGCATGGCGAGGAAAGAAAAAAAAATACCCCAGAAATCGTGAGGCTTAAGGTTAACTTACAAATAAATTTTTGAGTATCAATATTTTGAGAAAGTTTTGTGGACACTAGAGCAAATTTTACAAGGCTGATAAGAACATGGCTATAAGGCATAGACACACCATGAACCTTGCGAGCAGCCAAACACTGTTACCTACAGCTGCAACTAACGTTCAGAGAAAGAAGGAGCCCATGGGTCCATGGTGAACTAAAATCGAAAGTGAAATGTTGGTGATGACAATTTTTATTTCTTCTTCTCTTTTCACTTTACAGAAAGAAAAAGTGGATTTGTTCTACCCGAAATTTTAATTCATTGGGCTAGAGGGATAGCACAGCAGGTAGGGCGTTTGCCTTGCACGTGGCCAACCTGAGTTCAATTCCTCTGTCCCTCTCGGAGAGCCCGGCAAGCTACCAAGAGTATCCCACCTGCACGGCAGAGCCTGACAAGCTCCCCGTGGCGTATTCGATATGCCAAAAACAGTGTCAACAAGTCTCACAATGGAGACATTACTGGTGCCCACTCAAGCAAATCGATGAACAATGGGAGGACAGTGCTACAGTGCTACAGAGCTTGCACAGGTAAAAGACAATAAAACTAAACCTAATTTGAATTTGATGAAATATTTCTTCCATTGACTCCTCTACTTTACTCAGCTCAAAAACAAAAGAGGTGAAAAGATTTTACCGTGGTAAGTGAACCATGTGAAAATAAGGCGTTTCCACAGATTTGGTTTTATTTGACCCACCAGGGGTCACTCCTGAGCACAGAGCCAGGAACAGCCCCTGGTCACTATGGTGTGGACCAAACCCCCTCCCCCACCCAAAAAACCAACACCCCCCCAATCTACTATCTGATTTGTTTAAATTAATTATACAAATGTAGAAGTCGAGTCATTAGGTTGAAAGAGATCTTTGTCTAAACAATTATAAAGCAATTAGATATATCTGAACAATATGAATTCAGTATATGAATATTATATAGAATAAACATGGACAGCACATTTTTATTTCTAGAAAGTCCAATGAACAGCTCTGAAAAACTCAAGAACATGAGAAAAAACAATGGTAAAATAGTCTGTATGGGCAGGAACTTGATGATATTAAGTATGTTTCCAAGGCATGGTACATATTAAGGCCAGTGTAACTTTGCTGAATGAATAAACGAATGAATGAATGAACCAATTATGAATTTTCCCGTAAGAGGAAGAATGGTCAATAAACGAAAAGATGTTTAACTTAATTTAGCAAGGCTTCAAATATGATCCACATGAACTTCTTCCTTCTAAAGGTTTGAACATAAGGCAAGCATGCATGGGACATGAGGTGGAGGAGGAAAACAATTTACTGGCTTTGGTTCGGTGCTGCGTGATACCTATAAATGGTTAAAAGGCTGCAAAAGAACTCTGGGAACATATTTTTTCTCCTTGTACTTAGTACAACTTGGAACTAGACCTTTTACCTTATGAAATCTTCTTCTTCTTCTCTCTTTGGCCTCAGCTGTTTGGGTTGAGCCATATTGGTCCAATTCGGCAGAGATTTCAAAAGTCTGCTAATATCGTCATCTTTTGCCCAAGAAGCACTGATGACAAGCTTCTCTTCTGATTGGACAATGCTCCTAAACACATCCAAGAGAAAAGATGCCCTTTAGCACATTGCAAATGCCCAGAGTTAGTGATTTTCATTGATCTTTCCCGTAGAACAAAGGATGCCAACTCATATGCTACTATCCAAGAGAGATAGAACAGGGGGTGAGGTGTGTGCTTTGCCATGGCTGACTGAGGTTTGATCCCCAGCACTAGACGGTACCCTGAGCACAACCAGGAGTCACTCCTGAGCACAGAGCCAAGAACAGTCCCTGAACACTGTGGTATGGACCAAACCCCTTTCACCATCCAAAAACCAACATCCCCATCCCTCAATCTACTATCTGATTTTAGGCAATAGTGTTCATTAAGAGGTCATCTTACCAGGTAACAACATTCCTTGTTGTTGAAATTTCTTTCTTCATTGTTGAGCAACTATGAAAGCTGATAATTTCCTTATCAACAGTTCCTTAGGGTCTGGTGAGACCTTTCAAGAAGGACGGTGAACAAGAAATGGGCGAACCATACAAAAATGCTATCAAATGACAACAGAAATGGTAGCTGGGAGGTGTCAAAGGTGTTACAAAAGGTCATTCACTGGTTTCTTGGCTTAAACTATCAATTAATTCCCCTTCAAGATATTCTGTGAACTACAGATACCCCTTATATTCAAGGCAAATCTATCATCACAGAAGAAACTTTCTGACCCCAAAGTCAAAGAGAAAAAGTCTTTGATTATTGCTCTCTCTTGTGAGCTTTGACTAGTGACCTCGAGTTGATAGCCTACGAATCCTTTAATAGGACCTATGGGTTAGCTATTAACACTGTGCGTGCCAGAATGAACCTGTAAATTCATCTTAAATGTTCAATTTCAACTTAATTAAAAAGCTTCTCTTTTGGTTCAACTTGTCTATCACTATAACGAATTTCAGTGGTGAAAAATATGGTCCTCAGCAATTCTCAAAGGCAGAAAAGACATTTAATTATGAAGGAAGTGCTAGTTAGTTGGGTACTACCCCTTTGAGGCTGACTAAGGATTTGCTTCTCTTTTATAGATCCATTGGCTTTCCCTCTCCCAAATATTGTTATTTTTGTATTATGCATTCTATTATTTTTGCTGTCTCCAAGTAATTTTAAAGCAACACTTTTAAGGGGCAGAATATGAGGCGAGATAGCACAGCGGGTAGGGCGTCTGCCTTGCACGCAGCCAACATGGCCGACCCGAGTTCGATTCCTCTGCCCCTCTCAGAGAGCCCGGCAAGCTACCGAGAGTATTCGATATGCCAGACACAGTTACTTATTTATTTATTTATTTATTACATTTCTTTGGCTGTCAAATGCTTGTTGCATTTTCCATCTTTCCTCCAGATACGAGTTTTCTCCTGTGGTCTAGTTTACTGTTGTATAAATTCTGCCTCCATGGGACCTGGTCTCTGAAAAAACACCCTCCTCTACATGCCCTTCCCCTCTCACCTCCACCCCCCGCCCTGCCCCTCTGTGGTTTGACAAGGTTAGTCTACAGTGGACTGCATTTACCTTTTCTGGATTGTGTGGGGTTTACTAGTTCCAAATGTTTTATGTCTTTTTCCTTCCTTATACTCAGCTTAAAAATTTCTCTCCCTAAGTCAGGTTAAGGATGTAGCTCAGCAGTACAGCATTTGCCTTGCATGTATGAGGCCCTGAGATGGACTCTTGGCACCACAAAACCAAATCAACAAAATCCTATTCTCTTCCTATGTGGGTAATGCAACTGAAAATTCTTGCATTTGTCAGTAGTGTCGATTCCAGTTTCTTTCTGGGAACTTTTTTTTCCTACTTCAGTCTGGTGGCTTATTCTCAAAGCCAGAGTCTCCTGGTTCCATTCATGAGTGAACGAGCCCTTTGCACAAGTTCGGCACAGATAACTCTCCCTGTGAAAATAACATCACTCTTTGGGAATCTGAACTCTGGATGGTAGCTTCATATTCCCTTCATCCCCCATCAATTCATAGGAAAGTTCTAATACCAAGGTGATAGTGGTAGGAAGTAGGTTCTTCAGGAAGGTCATGAGGGTTAAATCCTCATGGATGGGATTAGTGCCCTTAGGATAGCGATTCTGGGGTCAACTCCATTCCACTGGATGACAATACAATGAGAAATCTATGACTCCGAAGAGAGCCTCACCTGAGACTTCCAACTTTATGATGTTGGCTTTCCAACCCCCAAAATTCCAAGAAATAAAATTTTGCTGTTTATAAGGCCCAAGTCTGTGAGATTTCTGTATAGCAGTCTGAATGGTCCAAGAATCTCAGTAAGAGGTTGTGAAGCCTTTGTGGGCCGCTCAACTTCAAACTTCAACTTTCTCTTCAACTATAAGACCTTCATGTTTTCACCTGGGCTTTCTATGTGTTATAGGAGAAGGGGAGATAACTCAAATGAGGAAAACCTGCCATGTGCAGGGTCCCTACATCAATTCCAAGCACTACATGGTCCCCAGAGTTTACGCAGATGTAGCCCCAGGAATCCCCAAGTAGTGCTGGAAAGGCCCCACATTTTTTCTCTTTAGTCTTTGGGCCACATCCAGTGATGTCCTGGCTCTGCACTCAGGAATTCCTCCTGGTGATGCACAGAGGACCATAAGGCAGGGCAGGAATTAAATCTGGGTTGACCACATGGAAGACATGTGCCCTACCCACTATAACATTGCTCTGCACCCCCTGCCCCTGCCACCATTTTTTTTAAAAAGAATGGGACTTCCTAATTCAATTACCTCCATTCTTTGGCTCAAGTCAAAGTTTGGTCTTAAATCAATCGCAATATTGATAATTTGTTACATTCAATATTCCAACATCAATCCCCCAACCATTGCACCTTCCCCACGACCATTATTTCCACTTTTCCCAACCACCCCTCAAACCTGTTCCTAGGAGGCCCTTCACAATTTATTTTACATTGCTTGTTAGAAATAATTCGCTGATAATGATCAAAAATATTTCCTTAGAAGAAAACTGTGAAGATTGTTGTATTTCACCATGGAGCCCTTAAGCCCTTCCTGTATTTAATTATTTTTGGTGTTCTACATGACTTAGAACATTATGTCTCATTTTGACATTCTCATCTCATATTCTGATGACTCATAAATCAATACCTTTAGGGCTGCTCTCTCTTCCATTGAGAAAACCAACATATTCAAAAAACTCACCAAGAACTCTAGTAAAAGTGACTAGCAGCGTTTCAGAATAAAATGAGTCGAAAAGAGTTTCTGCTTTATCCACCTCTTTCTCTGCCACTAAACATATAGTATTCTCTACTATGGTCAACAGCCCGATGCGGCATCCAACTTATTATTCAAATTAGAAACTCAGAGTCATCCTAATCACCCATATGCACTACTGCCTGCCAATTCCTCCTCCCTAGTATCTTAGAAATCTGTCATTTCCTGTCCAGATTCACTGCCACTAAACTATATTTAGACCCTCATCATTCCTCACTTGGATCTGGCAGTAACCTTATAACTGGGCTTCTTGCCTGGAGTTTCAAGACCATCAGTTCAGCTCACCATGCCAGTCAGAAGAGTCATTTTTTCCCCCTAAATTAAAAATACAAACCCATTCTTAGAACTCATAATTACCCAGAAGCCCAAGCCCAAACTTAGCCAAGAAAGGGTATCTCCCTTTTCAGCTTCATCTCCTGCTAATGCTTTTCATCCTTTGTCTACGATTGTTCCTAGAAAAACCCAGTCTGTGTTGGCAGAACATACCCACAACGAACATTCTCAGGTTCTTTGAATCAAGAGACTGCTCTGCTTCTGTTTCCTCTCCACCTAGAAAGCCCTTTTCTCGTTCACCTTATTTCCCTCTACTAAGCAAGCATCTCGTCAGTTCTTCCCTCTCATTATTGCCTCAGTACCTTTCTACCAGGGGTGTTTAACCTCTGCCTGCACACTGGGCTCATGGGGGGGGGAGGGGAACTCTGTTGTAATGTTGTACATATACTGTGGTGTTCACACACACACACACACACACACACACACACTTTTTTTTTGGTGCTAATAATGGTACCTGGCAGTACCTGGAATTATACTTGGCATGATGCAATGGTGTCGGAATCAAACTTTCTGCCTTGTAGACAGGAAGCAGAGGCATTACCACAGAGCCACATGCCCAGTTTCCTTAGCTGGGAAAGACATCCAGGACATACCCAAGTCCAAATCAACCAGAATCTCTGGCTGGGGGGAGGGGTGTGATTTGGCAAAAAAATGTTCATGTTTCCCAGGAGATTCTAACATGCAGTCAATGATGAGACACATGACTCACATACATGGCTTTTTTTAAATTGAATCACTGTGAGATACAGTTATAAAACTTTCATGTTTGAGTTTCAGTCACACAATGATCGAACATCCATCCTTCCACCAGTCCACATTCTCCACCACCAATGTCCCCAGTATTACTCCCTGCCCTTTCCAACTCTCCCCCTGCCTCTATGGTAGACAATTTCCCCCACATTCTCTCTATACTTTTGGGCATTATGGTTTGCAATATAGATACTGAGAGGCTATCATGTTTGGTCCTTTATCTACTTTCAGCACACATCTCCCATCTCAAATGATTTTTCCAATAGTTATTGACTTAGTGATCCTTTCTCTATTCCAGCTGCCTTTTCCACCAGCTCATGGGACAGGCTTCCAACTATGAAGCAATATTCCTGGCCCTTATGTCTACTGTCCTTGGGTGTCAGTCTCATATTAATACATGGCTCTTCTTTCTCATTGGACTTAGTCTACATCCTTTCATGCTGCAATTCCATCCTGGATAACAAGTTCAGAGGGTAGAGTTTGTTTCTCATAAATTCTGTGTCCTGACTATAATACTTGGCCACTTGGAAAATCCATAAAAGCTGATCTGGAGAGAAAAGCAAGTCCATTTTGGTTATAGCAGGGTACTTATTAAACTAAAACCATTTCAATGACATTTCTTTACTTCTGCTCTGTATTTAGAGTCTTAGGGGAGTGGTCAAGCTGTTGACATTTTGACCAAATGACACTTCACTC